CCATTATTTTCAATAATTATTTTATTATAATTAATTAAATGTGGAACTACAACACATAATTGCCACCAAAATGTGTTAATGCTGATCATAAAAGCTTATTGAACCTAACCAGGTTAGAATAAATGTAATTCTACTAAAGTGATGTGTTTAAAATAATACTTCCATTAGTCTTGCTTGCAGTCATTGGGGGTTAGGTGGGGAAGCATTTATTCAAGGGGAAAAAAAGGGAGGCACTGATTCCAAATGAGCCTCTGAAGGGGATATTTCTTCAAAGTGGAGCGTTTATTCAAATAAATACCTGTATTTTCAAATTGAATATTTGTATAATTTGAGATAGTTGTTTTCAATTCAATTCAGTTCAGTGTTATGTTTATTGTATTTATAGAAATAAAGTATTATGGCCTATGAGGTACTACCACCCGCATTTTGATAACCCTGACTGAAATGGGGGGGGGGAGAGATATATATGGTTACGACACTTCTAAACTGCAATAGCAGTCAACAGGGAAGACGAATAATTGTCTGGTGCAATACATATTATATGTCACAAACAAATTATAGGTATTCCAATAATCATTGTGTTGATATTGAATTTAAATATTTAATTGATCTGTTATTTTAATGATTTAATAAATAATGATAATTAGATTTTGTAGTCTTTTCCATATATTTTTGTAATTTCATTGTATAATGTTGCCTATTTTAATATTTGATAGACTGAACTAGGCTTTCTTGTATGCATACATGATATCATAACTACATATATCCAAATGTGAGCCACATATATACTCATTCTTATCTTTTATTTCAGGTAATCTTAGTTCTGAGCTTTGTTTTTTATTCATCCGCCGTGTATGGATCTTACACCTTTCCTCCTTGGGCCGAGGCGCTTGGCTGGTTTCTGGCATTTGTGTCTGTAGCAGTCATTCCCATTGTGGGTGGTATCATTGTGTCCCAACAGAAAGGAGACAGTCTTTGGGAGGTAAAACATAAATTTATTTTTTTTTCATTGTGTTTGAGACCAAAACAAGTACTGTATACATGTACAACAAACATACTTTTTTGAAATTTTATCTAGTCATATATCATTAAAAAAAATGATGTCTAATAAATTGGCGGGAAAATATTATAAAAATTAGTTGAATAGCTTGGTGGTGAAGATGCTTGCCTTCTAATCCCAAGGTCCTGGGTTCAATTCCTGTCAGTTTTGCAGGAGGTTTTTCATCACGACCAAAACAGCTTCACTCCCTAAACCTCGTATTGAGATTTAGTTTGTGTAAAGCATCGTGTGTGTATGTTTGTCTTGTGTAAGGGATTGTCACCTACAATTAGGACAGTGATATTTGCTATTGACAATCCTTGGTGCATGTGCTGTGCGCTTAAATAAATAAAAACATAAAAAAGTATTAGTATTATATTACTACTGGAACAGGACTTTTTTGTTGCCTCTGCCAAGTGCGAGTTTTCTCGTCTGCTTTTTGCATGGGTTGGTATATGTTCAGAAGGCGCCCTTACTCGTACAATTGAGTGTGCTGCCAGCAACATAACACAACAAACGTACAGTACATACGTTATTTGTATTTTATTGTCTAGGTGTACATTTCCCGAACTATCAGCCGTTAAGTCTGTGATTCCACAATGTATAACAATAAAGTGATAAACACTAGAATGTTATCCCGGTTTTGACAAGTATAGTCGTCCCTAGCACCCTCGTCAACACCCTGTGGGAGGAGTGTACTCGTCACTGGCAGCGAACGTGTGAATTGGTGCTTTTAATTGAATAGCTTTCCTATGTTTTAATTATTTTTTCTCACTCTCTATATTCTTATTCTTTCAGCGTATTGTAATGGCCTCTAGACCAGCACATGACTGGGGCCCAGCTAAGGATGAGGACCGTGTACGTGCTGGGTATGCCCCACTTAATCCCAACTTTGTACCGGAAGTATCATGCACTCCGGTAGGATATGTAGTCTTATCAACTGATACGAAAGTTTAGAAACTTAAAAAAAATAATAAAAATAAAAAGTAATAATATAAAATATAGTACATGCTTAGTACGTACAACTACAAACTTGGCTTAAATAAGAAGACTGACATTAATGTGATTTTGGGGTAACTTTCATCATGTGTTGGTATCGCAGATGATACATTTGCTTGTCATGATGTTGAAGAAAAATCGGGCACGTTCGCTGACGTCGAAAATCGGACCAAGGAATGATTGTTTACAACACGCTAATGTTTAAACCTACCAATCAAGTATTCATTATACCACTGTGATATTTGTTACAATACCCATAATTCTTAGTGTCTGTTCTCTGAACTATGACCTTTAACTAGACCAAGCCATCATGAGTTGCCAATATGTCAGAATATAATATATTATGCTTTAATAATTTTTTTGTTTAAAGTCAGTGGTTTAAGTTATATCAAATATTTGTTAAACAACTGCTATAACTTATGCAGAAAAACTAGTTTTTTAAATTATAAAAATTTAGAGCCAAGTTTTTTTTTAATCCTTGTACTTTTTATTTATAGCATAAAATGTTTTATGATAGCTGACTTATATAGTGTAGAGTTATGAATATAGTCCCACTTTTTCCAGACTGGGAAGGATAAAGCCTCCTGGTTGTATAGTTTACATTTCATTTCTCTCTTTATTTCGGAATTCATATCCATAGAAATATATAAAAATATGCATAAATACGAGACTCTGGCCGGCAAACCCGAGAAGAAAAAGCAAAAAAAAAAAAAAAATTAAAATTAAAATTTAAAAGAATATAAAAAAAAAAATATTGTAACCCTCCTTTGTTGATATGCAAGGACTGTAAACCTCAAAACTGCCCAAGAGTACATCTTCTGGTTAACCAATTACTAATTAATTATTAATAAAATTTATAAAAAAAAAAAGTTATTTATGTAAAGTATAAAAAGATTTACTATCTGTAAGGTGCCATTTATTTATAAAAATTTTAAAAAAAGTGAAAACAAATACATTCACTCTCAAAAGAATTAATAAAATTAAGAAAAAGGCCAATAAAAGGAATCAGTACTGATTTTTGAATTAAAAAGGGTGACGATAGGGAAGTGAAAATTGCCTTAAGCCCAGATTATATCAAGCCTTTATTACTGTCATAAATTTTGAGGGTTTTTTTTTGTTGAAAATGCAGTGTAGTAAATTTTTGTAGTGGGAATCATTTTATTGTGTAGAATTTTGTTTTTAATTCTTTTTGGCAGTTTGAATCTTTATGTAAATATTTTTATTAGTACATTAGTGATATTTCTATAGTCAACTTCCATTTATTTTTTGGGATATAATGATGAACTCGTTCATATTTACTTTGCACCCAATGTGTTTAGTCAAAGTGACAAATAAATTTTATATGCCTATATATGGAAATAATATCAATAATAATATCATCATGCCCATATATGGGTACATCACTCAAATCTGTCACATACAATAGTGTGTACAGATTCATTAAACACCTTGCAATTGTTTTAATGTAATTTTTTCAGTTTTTGGAAACTAATTAACAATTGAATTGTTTCATTTCCATTTTCAATATACAGTGTATTATATCTTTTATGAAGAATACCAACTTATATTGTACAGTTTTTGCTACATGGGCCTATTTTACATTACTCAAATTAATGTATAATAGGTCAATGTATTGGCCACGACCATTCTTGTATTACTTTTCAATCTCATACTTTAGTTCAAAGCTATTTAATAAACATAAATGCCAAGTAGAATGAAATTACTTACATTGGTGGCTGGCATTACTAGAATAGAAATCGCATAAGCACAGCCTCATTAATATTACAGTATTTTGTATTGTAATTTAGTTTAATTCAGAAAAGGAAAAACTGCCCATATATACAAATTCAATTATTTTAATTTTTCGATTGTGTGTTAACCACATATTGTCACATTTTGTATTGTTTGTTTTAGTTTTATTTCAATGGACTTAAACCTGACAGCGTCTAAACGTATCCATACGAATCCAGTAGTCACATAGGTAATACTGTACAACCCTATCGTTTTGTGACTGCCAAATGTTAGTGTTTTTCCTAACGATATACTTCTGAAGTATTTTACAGAACATCTGTGGTTGCTACAAAATATTTTTCCAAATTACAGACGTACGGAAATAGAGAAAATTGCTATGGAAATTTTTCATAGGCCTAAACCCATAAACAGATAGAAAAATATGTTTGGTTACATTGAGCCTAGCCAACTCATACTTGTCAGATGTACTGATAAATTATTGTGAAAACTAAGAAAAAATTGGCCCGTAAAATCTTCATCCTGTCCCATTTCTTTGAAATTCCACACCTTGAATTATTCTGTACAAGTAACACGTATTTGCGCTCTAGACAAATGTGTAGGTGCTATGGAAATTTTGTATTTACTTTGGAAAAGTTTGGTAAAAAGGGTAGGAAGTGCCCACTTACTATGAGAGTACCAGTAGTTACAATTATATTTGTTTCTTTATTATGTCTGCCTTTTAGTTCAGATTGAGTTTAATGAAATAAAGACATATCATAACTACTGATATTATATGCAGTTTGTGGTTATTTATACAAAGTGTGGACTCTGCAATTAATGGTTGTAGTTTGTTATGATGATGTTTGAGGATGAGGAGGATTTGGACACAGGACCCAGAGGTGCAGAAGCATGCACAATCACAATTCAACCACTCATCAAATTCATAGCCCTTTGAGGTATATTTTCAAGATTGGTTTCTTTTCGAGATGGGCTTCTTTTTGAGATTCATTTGCAAACTAAAGAGGGAGAGTTCTTAATGAATGCAATTACTTTTGCTATAAAGTCGTAATAGAACTACTGAAGACATTATTCAGTTATGAAATTCGAAAATCTGTAATATTTTTTCAAAATTCACAGCAAAATTAAAATAGATTAGAAAAAAAAAACCCCAGAAAAAGTATAGTATGGAACGCCATTGGTGCCAAAATCGATTAAAAAAATATCATGAGCTTTACTTTTGCAACCTAAATTTTTTTCCAAGTTGGGCCTCTCGAGATGAAGTCCATCGGGCTTTTACTTGAGGTTTTATATGCACTGAGAAGATTGGGATTGTGATCAGATGTAGACAATACCATGTAGGCCTTTATACCATTGTCAATTGAATAAATGTTTAATAATACTACAGTAATAATAATGATGGTGATGATGATTATGATGATGATGAGGACAATGATGATGACAAGATTCATAATATGGACTAGTAGCTATGGACTAATGATGATGGTGGTAATAATGATCGTGATGATAATTATAATTACTAATAACTAAATATTATTTATGTATCATTTATTTTATGATGATGATGATAAGGTAATATCATCAGCGGACAAAAAAACGTAGCTAAGAAAGCTGCTTTTGCCTTGCCTTCATGCTCAAATCTCGAAGCAAAGGCCGTTGTGTAGCGGTCTCAACGTTTGTATAATACTCTAAACTTTTCGTGTTGCGCGGGTTTGTTCTAGTCTGTCCTTGATTGCTTGCGGTCAGAGGTATTTGAATGTTTGTAAATAAACTAATAATAAACTAAAATTTTCGTGTCGAGCGAGTCGTTCTTGTCTAGTCTTGTCATGATTGCTTGTGGTCAGAGGCAGGTATTTAAAGGTTTGTATGATACATGGATACACTAAATATTTCGTGTCGAGAGAGTTGTTCCAGTTTAGTTTTTTCTTGATTGCTTGTCGTCGGATACTACTACTACATTTTACCTTTAGGGACAGTATTTTTATTATGGAACTGTTTTCACCCTCTTCATTGTCTTATGTTCCCCATGGCAACCCTTTCACCAGGATTTTTAAAGAACGGTGAAATTTCAGAAAATGTCCTCAAAATTTTAAGTGTGGTGCACAAAATTCTAAAAGGTGGATACAAACAATTGCTATTTTAGTACATAGCAAGTGACACGCTAAGTCTGTTTATTGACCTTGCATTTGCATTCATATTTTTTTTTGAAGCGTGGTTCCAATATTTTGAGCATAATATAATTTGCCTTTTTAATATTTTTATTTAAATTATGTTGTTTCTGTGAGTATCCTACGTGAAAAAGATATTTTTATCTGCCATTAAAGATCTTAGTTAATCGTTTTTTATATTATTAATTTATTTACGTATATTCTTGTTATAATAATGATTTACTATAAATATTGTTTAACATTTACGGCAATAAATGTTGTTTAATGAATGAATAATTATTGAAATCCACTTGCACTTGACAACAACAACTAGGCAACAGTTATTATTTTTAATGGTGTCTACCACATATTTCTTCTTCAATTATATACAGATACTAAATAAAAGCTCCATTGTACAAGTATATTTATTTAGTTTGTTTTCAACGTAGTACTATCAGATTGTTTTGAAAGCTTAATGCAGTCACTATAACAATTATATTCAAATTTCACAAACTTCGACTTCTGGAGGAATTCAAAATCCACCCACTCCTGTGTTGGAACCCACTA